TTCAACCAGCTCCAGAACTCCGCTCCCAAAAACTCCCCACCACGGTCGCTACGAATCGCCTTCACCCGCTTGCCGCTCTCTCACTCCACCATGGGCAGCCACTCTTCAATGATGACCCTTGCAGCATCACTCTTCTTTGCAAGTGGAAAAGACCAGGTGAGCCTTGTGTAATCATCCACCATAGTCATGGAATACAGGGCTCCACCATCTCCCTTCACCTTCATGGGCCCCACAAGATCCACATGCACGAGCTCCACCGGGTCACTTGACTGCCCCACCGTCGAATGGAAGGGAAATCGTGAGAACTTGCTGGTCAAGCAAGTCTCACAAGAGCCCACCTCCTTGGGCTCCCCCTTTATCCTCAGCCCCTTGACTCTTTCCTCCTTAAACAGCTGCTGTAACTGAGGTAGCACCACGTGGCCAAAGCGACGGTGTGCGGTGAGCCAATCCGTCTCACCCGTGCTAGGAGTTACACTTGGTAGTGCACCCCCCCATGCACAAGCAGCCCACCATCACTGCCATCACCACCTCCTCCACTGGTTACGTGGCTTGCATGCCCTCCTCTTACAGCTTCAGCAGCCAAGCGCGCAGCCGCCTCCTTCCATGGCAGCACCGGTATCTCCCACATGGACCGGTACATGTCCTTGCCGCCTCGGAGGTCCCACAACACGCGCCCATCCAGAGTTGCCTTGGACACCTTTGTGCCCATCATCTCCATCTTCATCCCTGCCTCACTCAATGCCTTGGTAGAGAGAAGGTTGGCACATAGTCCAGGGACAAGGAGAACACGCTTCAGCCCCACAAGCCTCCCATCCGCACCCATAAACATGGCTCTCCCCTCGCCACGCACGGGTACAACTTGGCCGGTGGCTGAAACAACGGTGGCTGCCTTTGATGGTCTGACTTCATCCAGCAGATCCTCTCGGTTGGTCATGGTCATGAAGGCTCCCGTGTCGATGACCCAATGGGAGGAACGGTGAAGAGCAACCTTGCTGGCCGGTACAACCATATCCTCGGAGCATGCCTCTCCTACATGGTAGAACATGCCGCTATGTCCGCCGGCACCTCCATCGCCCTCCTCACTGCCCATGCCTTCTCCCATAGCTCCATGAACACCCTTAGAGCCTTCAATTGATGGCTGACCAGGCCTCCAACCATCAGGTAGCTTGCGACACTTAAACCATGGGTGACCTTCCACATGGCAATACCAACACTTGCCGCCACACCGCTTGCCTCCCTTGTTGCTACGCTTCCCTCCCGAATACTGCTCCCCTCCAGAGCCTTCCTTGGCCTTGCCTTTCTTGCTGCCACGTCCCTTGAAGCCTTTCATGCCATAGGCAGAGCCTCCACCTTCACCGGCAGCGGCAGTCAGCTCCTTCCTCCGAAACTCCTCTTGAAGGACTTGAGCACGAATCCACTCAAGGGACCATAAGTCCTTCATGCCATTGAGGTTGACCACCAAGGGGCCCCACGACTCCGGCAGCAGGGAGAGAGCCTTGTAGCACTTGATCTTTTCAGGGTAGTCCACACCAGCAGCAGAGAGCTTCACATAGAGGTCCCGGAGTTGATCGAACGCTCCTTGCACGGCATCACCCTCGTTAATCTTCACCGCATGGAGTTGTCGTTCGAGCACCACCACCATCGCTTCGCTGCTGGGGGCATGGACATCCTTAAATATTTTCCATGCCTTGGGACCACACTGGATATCCTTGATGAGATGCTTGACGTGGTGCAGCTGGTTGGATGAGAGGCATTGAGAGAGAAGGAAGAATCCATCCTTGGATCGGCGATCCCATTCCTTGGTCGCTCCTTCGCTCGCAGGCCTCTTAAATTCTCCATCCATCACTTCAAGCAGCCCATAATGGTTAAATAGGAGCTCCATCCTGAAGCTCCATGATGCCCAATCCTCCCCAGAGAACTTCTCTAGGTTGAATGCCTTAACATCATCCTTGGCTGGTGTTTAAACGGATGCTATTGGTGCAGATCCGCCTACAACGCCTCTTCCTGCTTCCCCAGCGCCTCTCACGCCACCACTGCCACTAGGACCAGCTGGAGCGGAGCCTTCAGCCTCCATATTGACCCAGGAACAGAGAAGAACCGCTCTGATACCACTTGTTATAGTCTAGAGTCCACTTAGGGGTCGTAGATGCCCTTGAAACCACCTAAGCAGAATCTGATGACTTCAAACCGCCTCTGTTCAAAACGCCGTCACGATCAGCTCCGATAACAAACGAGGCTGAAACTTTGACAGACGTTAGCTTCAGGTGTCTTCTTTCCAACGGTATATGGCTTGCTTTCATCAGAGGTGTATGCGCTACGCAGTGAACAAAAACGTAAGCTCGGCTGAAAAACGAGTAGCTTCATTGATGCAAGGAAGAGGTTGAGTGCAACATTGCCTAGGGGACTCTTAAGGGGTTGGGACCATCCTGGGAACTCAGAGAAGGTTGAGTCCTAGGGGAGAAAGGCTAGAGAAGGATGGGAAACGTCCTAGCTAGGTCAGCAAAGCCAACCACACTTGGATGTTCAGAGCTGTACTCAAGGCTACCAATAGTGAGTCAAGCCAACCATGAGTCAGCTTGTCTTCCCACTTGCACCCTCTTGCAAGCTGCTACCAGGAAGACCACACTTCTCAAAAGGAGGGTGGTAGAGTCCCACTTGACCACATGTACTTCTTGTCTCATTCTCTGTCCCTGCACCATTGGCATGACAACAATGAAAGGGTGGCAAGGGAAATGCTGCCAACAGTGCACCATGACTACGGAACAGTAAGTTTCGACAGCTGTCACGTGCTGCTCCGATGCTGGGTTGTCCTGAAACTCGGTGACCACCTGCACAACATGGCAAAGGACTGCCACACCGATTTTCAGACCAATCAGAGCTCGGTAGATGAGTCAGCAGCCGAAATGGTGAACTCGGGTGTTACCAAAAAAGAGTAACACACACTTCCGGAATGCCATAAGTCTTGAAACTGAAAATGTTGCCATGCCTTGTAAACTGCTTCCAAAATTCTGAAACTTTGAGGGTATGAAGAACACATATTGAAGCACCTCCCCACAAATTCCAGAAGCTGAGCAGGCTTGTAGGCTGAATGGGAGTGCGATGACCGTGCCACTATAGTACTTTGGCACAACATTCCTGGAAGTCCACAGGCACCTACGTCGACGAGGTTCCCCCGCCTGGGGCGAACATCGTCAGTGGCATGTGGATCTTCAGGGTGAAGCGGCTGCCGGGTTCTCCGCCTGTCTTCAAGGCGCGTTACGTTGCACGTGGCTTCAGTCAGCGTCAGGGAGTTGACTTCTTCTAGACCTTCTCCCCTACCCCGAAGATGACCACTCTTCGGGTACTGCTGCACGTAGCTGCTCAGCGTGACTACGAGCTCCACTTGCTTGACTTCAGCACAGCCTTCCTACAGGGCAGCCTGCACGAGGAGATCTGGCTGCGCCGCCCACCTGGCTTCACTGGGTCGTTTCTTGCTGGTACCCAGTGGAGCCTCCGCCGGCCAGTCTACGGTCTCCGCCGGGCACCCCGTGAGTGGTACGACACACTGAGGACCACTCTTGCTGCTCTTGGTTTTGCTCCTTTCACTGCTGACCCTTCTCTATTTCTACGCACTGACACCACTCTGCCGCCGTTCTACGTTCTTGTGTACGTAGACGACCTTGTCTTTGCTACTGCTGACACTGAGGCACTCGCCCACGTGAAGTCCGAGCTGCAGAAGAGACACACGTGCACCGACCTGGGGGAGCTGACAAGCTATATTGGCTTGTGGATCACCTGGGACAGAGCACATCGCACCATTACCTTGACTCAGTCACACATGGTGCAGCAGGTCCTTCAGCGCTTCGGCTTCACGTACTCCTCGCCACAGTCCACTCCTCTGCCTACCGGTCACTCGCTCTCAGCTCCACCTTCGGACGAGTCCGTAGAGCCGAGTGGCCCGTATCCAGAGCTTGTGGGCTGCCTCATGTACCTGATGACTTGCACACGACCTGACCTCGCATACCCTCTCAGCCTTCTGGCTCGCTACGTGGCTCCCGGCAGGCACCGAAAGGTGCACTGGGATGCTGCGAAGAGGGTGTTGCGATACTTGTGCAGTACATCGGGCATGGGGCTCGTGCTTGGAGGACGGGCTCGAGTTGTCCTCACTGGTCACGCTGACGCCTCCTGGGTTGACGACTTGGCTACGCAGCGGTCGTCACAGGGCTACACCTTCAGTCTTGGCTCCGGTTCTGTCTCTTGGCGGTCTACCCGCTCTTCTTCTGTTTTCAGCTCCAGTTGTGAGGCTGAGATATACGCTGGGGCCATGGCTGCACAGGAGCTACGATGGCTCACCTACCTGCTGACCGACTTGGGAGAGGCGCCTCGTTCTCCTCCAGTTCTGTACGTCGACAACAAGGCCATGCTGGCCTTATGTCAGGAGCACAGACTGGAGCACAGAACGAAGCACATTGCTCTGCGCTACTTCCTTGCTCGAGAGTTGCAGCAGCGTGGCCAGCTTCGTCTTGCTTACGTGGCCTCTCAGGCCAACACTGCTGATGTTTTCACCAAGGCACTTCAGCCTTGTGATCATCAGCGTTTCTGTACTGTGTTAGGCCTTGTACCTACTGTGCCTCACTTGCTTTCTTCTTGACTCTGCCTGTACTGTACTCTTTATACATATACCTGCATGCTTACACTTGCTAGGTTGTGTTCACTGTATTGTTTGTTCTCCTTTATATAACTCTGCATGTGAACTGGCCTTGTGGCCATTTGATTGTGCTCAGACTGCGTGGTGACTTTGTGATCCACCCTGAGCTTGCTTTGCCTTTCTTGACTGGTCTTGTGACCTTTTGTTCTCCCCCACTTTGCCTATGGGGGTGTGTCAAACTTATTTATGCTATAGTCTGTTTAGGCTGTAGTGGGGTAGTTTTTAGAGGGTACAACACTTTTGTGTTTCCTACTTGTACCCATCTGCTTTCTAGTTCCATTCATTCCTCTCATTATTCTTACAGAGGCGTACGCTACATCTGATCCGCGTCAAGGACGGCGAGAAGACCCGTCAACGAGCGATGAAGCTCGCGCACCACCACAGTGGTTGCGCCGATCAAGTCGACTGCAGTCCCTGCGCGCAAAAACCGGCGCAGCCCACGGACTGCCGTCCCAAGCTGTCCAACGCCCGCAACTCCACCCTGCGCGGGCGCAGCCAACACGGGCGCAAGGAGCTCGCCCAGCCGATCAGCGGCATCTAGGCACTCGTCTTGATGGCCACTCTCCAGAGGAACACCCTGGGCGAGAGCCGCGTGACCATACACCTGAATCAGGTGAACAGCCCGCAGACCCTCCAAGAGGCGCCATAGCTGCCCCAGAGAAGCCTCCGGCACCACAGCGGAAGGAGAGGGCCCCTCCAGCGACTGTTGAGGTAGCGCAGTAGACGGCGGAGCGGGAGCAACGGGCAGCAGAGATGGATACTGACCCGTCACGGGTCCCCTTGCCGCAGTCACAAACTCCATACCCGCCACAGAGGAACCCACGGCAGGCGCATACGGTTCCCCAGAGCAGCAGCAGAGGCAGCAGGAGCATGAGGAGGAGGAACAGCCGATTGGGGAAGAGGAGGCGTCGGCGCATACTGAGCAGCAGGAGGAAGGGACGCATGCGTTGGAGTGACGCGAGGCGAATTGCTCTGGCTCGCCTGCCCATTCCGCTCCTCGCGCACTGCAGCGGAAATGGCTCGCTGCAGATCGGCCATCGACACCGGCCGATCATACCCCCAGTCACCACCACGCCCGCGCCCTCCCCACCAGCCACCGCGACCTCCGCGGGACGCAGCCCAGTTCGCCTGGAAACCGCAGCGCCGAGGAGAGTCGCGTCGCCGCCGCGTCGTCGCTCGCTCGTCAAGTGGCGCCGGGGAGTGAGGCCGATGCTGCCGGCGGCCCGGAGATGGCTGACGCTGAGCAGGGGGAACAGCAGCGAGCGGCGCAGGATCAGGCACCGCCCGGACGCCCGGGGCCGGCACGGGAGGCGGCGCAGTCGGAGGGGCGGGAGCAACAAAGACCGCTACCTGGCCCGGGCCGTCAGTGGTGGCGGACACCACCGGTTGCGACGCCACGGCGCCAGCAGGGGCAGCGGCGACCATCGGGACGTCAAGAGCGGGGGCATCTGGTGGAGCAGGATCAGCGGCAGCAGTCGGTGCCGCAGGGTTCACAGGGACAGGCGGAGCAACAGCAGGGGTTGGGAGTGCAGGAGGGTATGGAGCAGCCTGCGTCTCACACGACACGAGGCCCGGAGCCGGAGGCGCAGTGAAACCAGCGGCCAAGGGGGCTAGATTCGGGGCAGGGGGGACTGGCGGCTTCATTGCAACACTCCCCGAGGCAGACACCGGCGGTGACCTTCCGCTCGCCCCTGACGCAGAGGCAGCGGGCTTTGGCAATGGCCACGAGTCGCCAGCAATCACCATCGCGAGGCGGGAGGAGACGAGGAGCAGAACGCCGGGAAGGGCGGCGAATCGAAGGAGGACCGGAGAACGCTTTCCAGGCGGCGGCGCGACGGGCTTTAATCCGACTCGACGAGAATACTGATCCGGAGGAGCGGAACGACCCCTCTTATAGGGAGGAGGCTCAGGCACCGAGCAGCAGTAGCGAGGAGGACAACGAGGAAGAGCAAGAGCACTTGACGAGAGGAAGGGGAGGAAGCCAGAGAGGAACGACGGTACAATCTGGAAACACAGAGGGGCCACAGGATGACAATCGGACGGCCACAATTCCAACCCCGCCTCCTACTCGTGCGACGGGCCGCGGACGAGGAAATTGGACCGCGAGGGGTCTGGCAAGGGCGGCTTGCCAGCCGCATAACCCCCACTATTTTTCGCCAGAAGAACTGGCGAGGCAGGCTGACAAATTTGCCGAAGTAGTGGACTGGGACGTTACGCCTCTCTGCGATAGTCGCCAACCCACGCTGTTACGACGGCTACCGCCAAATTTGTGCGAGATCTTTTCGCTTGCAGTGCTAACACCACTACTGCACCTCTCGCGAAGCCCAGACTCCATCGCGGGATGGAAGTTACTCCTTTTTCTCCCCCGCTTCACACTACGTCAGGGCTCGCCGAAATGACCTGATTGGCCGAAAATCAAAGCCAGACTCCGTGCATTTCAACGCGGCGAGTGGCAGCAGCTGTATCTGGACGCAGTCGAAGCAGTCAACACACCGCCCCCGCCACGTCATCGGCCTGACAACGTGGGTACCATCAGCAGAGCAGAGGGCCTGGCAAAGAAAGAGAGCCTGCGCCAAGCCGTGTTGGCGCTCGAGTCAACACCGGTCTGTACGCCCTGCCCAGAGATTTTGGATGAACTCCGCCGAAAGCACCCTGCAGCCGACCCTGACCCACTGACCTGGCCAGCCAGCACCGAACCTCCCAGCCTCGAAATATCCTACGCGGATTTTTCGAAGATGCTCAGCCGATGCGAGAACGGAGTTGGGGCCGGCCCGAGCGGAATGACATTCGAACACCTTCGCGATTCGTCAGTAACAAACGCAGCCGTCTCCACCCATCTGCACGCCTTAGTCAACACGATTATGAGGGGGAATTTGCCACAGCCAGTCGCGGAACTGCTCACATCGTCACAACTGATAGCCCTGGCCAAGCCAGAGGGTGGGGCCCGCCCAATATCGATTGGAGAATGCCTGACTCGCCTGACTGCAAAAGCTGCGCTGACAGCCTTGGGCGAAGCGGCACGGGGTTATTTTCTCCCCCTTTAGTACGGTGTGGCTGTGCCAGGGGGGGCGGAGGCAATCAGTCACAGCGCACGGGCATACACGGACGCACACCCCAACTGCCTTATCCTCCAGACAGACATTTCTAACGCCTTCAACAGCATATCGAGGCAAGCCATAGCTACCGCTTTACAAGATCTGGCTCTCTCACCACTACAGCCTCTAGTTAAACTGACATACGGCCACCCATCATCCCTGTTCCTGGACGCTAGCTTCAGTAGCGCACCACTAAGGAGTGAACGCGGGGTTCGACAAGGGGATCCCTTGGGGCCGCTTCTATTCGCAGCTGGGATCCACCCCGCATTAAGAGAGACAGCTACTGCACACCCCGGCGTACTGTGCCTGGCATACGCCGACGACGTCAGCTTCCTAGGCGACCACCGTGAAACCGTAGCTGCCTTTTCCTATTTCACGAGCCAATTGTCCCAAGTAGGCCTGCGATACAACCCAGGGAAATGTGTCGCGTGGAGCAACCGGCCGATAGACGAGGCAGTGCAGCTGCCGCCTGGGGTGCCAACTAGTTCTGACGGCGTTAGGCTTCTCGGTAGCTTTCTAGGAACATCAGAAGGCGCCGCCTCCTTCCTATCTGCACAGCTACATGCTATGTCCACACCGCTACCTCTGATAGAACGAATGGACCCTCAGGTTGCATCTCTCCTGCTCACCCGCTGCATCTCACGCAGGGTAGCCTATCTCACACGAACGACTCTACATCTTCTAGACAGTGACACCTGGTCACAGTGGGGTAGGGACTTGCTGGCCACCCTCCTTACAGCGTGCGGCATACGCATACCGACGGACGACACGGAACAGACTCGGGTCTGGGAGCAGTCGTCACTCCCACCGTCACTAGGGGGTATCGGAATCACAGACCCAACGGTGGAGGGAACTTTCGGCTTCCTAGCCAGTTTTACACAAGCCGCACTGCTACTTAGTTCCCTGCCGCTGGAGTCAGAGGTGGCCTTGACGGAGGTTAGAAATCACATGCGACTACCACGAGATGTCACCACCGCCCTACACCACTGGCTGTCCGAATATGAGAGAGCACTGCCGCAGGAGGCCAGAGACATCCTATACAAGGAAAGGCTCGAGCCATTCGACCTAAAGCTACAGCATGAGCTCGGGGTGAGAGTGGAGGGGAGCAGATATGCCGCGCAAGTACAGGCAACACGGCTCATGAGGCTGAATCCCTTGTCAGGACATACCCAACGGTTTTTCTCTCTAACGGGCTACGGCACGGGGGACTGGTTGACAGCAATCCCAATAGAGCAAACCCGCCGCGTAGGTCCAGAACACTTCGCCAATGCCGTCCGCTTTAGACTTGGGCTCCCCTTCTCTACTCCCAAAAACTGTGACTGCTCTAAGCGTGTTGAGATCAAGGACCCACGGCTGCCAAACCACTTATTCCGCTGCGGGACAGGCAAGCACAGAATCAACACCCACAACGAGCTGCGGGACGCATGTATTACTATGGCGGAAGATGCCGGCTTCATAGTTCACAGGGAATCAGCTGCGTACTGCCCTATTGAAGAACAGACCGCTGACTTCACCATGCGGGACAGGAGCTCGGGGGCAGTATACACCTGTGATGTCACCATCACAGATCCCATTAGCACTCGGGATCCCAATGCTACAAAGGGGAGGGGATGGGTAGCAAGGGAGCAAGCGGACAAGAAAATCAGCCACTATGCAAATCGACCTGACATGGTCGGCTTCTTCCCCCTTGCAGTTGAGACATACGGGTGCCCATGCGCGGAAGTCCCAAAATTCCTGAAGTTATTGGCAGATACAGCTGCTAGGCATCATTTCAACGCCCAACCCACCTCCCATCACGCGAGGAGGTTCTTACACCTCTTCAGGCAGCGCTGGTCAGTGGCTCTGCAAAGAGCATAGTCGGTGGGATACTTAATCAAGTCCTCTCAGGCGGCCGTAGCTGGAAATCCCCCTGTAGGGGGGGTGCAGTCCGAGCTCCACCTTGGGGACTGCTGTGCTGTGCTGGAACCTCTTATGGAGGTGTAGAGACGTAGTTGTTTGTCGTTTGTTATTTGTTTGCTTGTTTTCCAAACCATCCTAGCAATAGCTATGCATGAATGTACCCTTTGGCTATATCAATACACGGACCATTCGAGAGAGAGAGAGAGAGAGAGAGAGAGAGAGAGAGAGAGAGAGAGAGAGAGAGAGAGGGAGATAGAGAGAGGGAGGGAGGGAGGGAGGGAGGGGGAGAGAGAGAGAGAGAGAGAGAGAGAGAGAGAGAGAGAGAGAGAGAGAGAGATGTAAAAAAACTAAACGAGAATGAATGCATTGAGCAGAAAGTTGGTACAAGTACTAACCCTAATTAGGTTGTACCCCTTATGGGCTACCCCACTATAGCCTACACAATATAAGCATTATAACATTTTGACACACCCCCATAGGCAAATTGGGGGAGAACAAGTGGTCACAAGACCAGTCAAGAAAAGCAAGCAAGCTCAGGGTGGATCACGAAGTCACCACACATTCCGAGCACAAGCAAATGGCCACAAGGCCAGTTCACATGCAGAGTTATATAAAAGAGAACAAACAGTACAGTGATCATAACCTAGCAAGTGTAAGCATGCATGTATATATATAGATAAAAGTACAAGCAAAGTCACGCAGTGAGCAA